CAAGATACCTTCTCTTTGACTTTAATTAAACTTTGATACCAATGATTTGTCTTGCCATCAAGATAAAGTTCAATAGCATCTAATTTGTTATCATCAGAAACCTCATGGATACTAAAAAATTTATCACATTTTCTGAACCAATCTCTAGGATTATCTCCACTGAAATTAGGCAGTTCTAATCTTGGTTGTGGAAGCCAAACGTTTTTACCATGCTTATCTTTTTCTGAACTAAACACATCATCATCTAAGTGGATTCTATAAACCCTAGTTGGTGTAGGAAGTAACCCCACTGTAGAGGAAGAAGTTGGATTCTTACCTTGGTTAATCATCTCCTTTCTTTGCGCCGCCATCATTTTCATCATTTCCGCCATCTGCAAAGATAAAGCTTGGAAGGCTCTTGCCTGTTGACCTTAGATTCCAGATGAGTGCTCCAGCTAGCAAATCTGTCATCCATCTGCTTCCTCCAATCGTTCATTTCCAAGATCTGAAGGTCCTTTTTTTTGATGTGCTCCTCTAAAGCTTTCGATCTAGTTTCTGTCAGCTCTAGCTTATCAGCTATCATTGACTCACGTGATTATCAAAAACTATCCAAGGAAAGACTAGCTCTGGATACCATTTGTGACGAATAGACTAGTATATTTAATTTTATAAAATTTAGAATTTAACCTAAACGGATAAACAACTTACTATAACCAGAAAAGGAGAAAAAGAACCTTTCTTAAATAAGGAAGAAGACAGAATCAGCAAGAAAAGGAGAGAAAAGCAAAAGAAAGAACAGAGGAGCGTATGAATGAGACAAGACAGAAAAGATGAGGAGGAATCTTCATTCATTCATTCATTAACATAAGAAATAGTTTGTTGATTACACTCCATTCTATACTAATCTCAATTCGCTAGATAAACCCTAATTGATCTACTGCCGCACAGCTGTTAACTTGAGGATTCTTCTGGAATCGATCCTTATCACCATCTCCACGTCTGCATGGGAGCATGTGAGCCGTCAAAGGCAGTCTTCAGCTCCAAGCTTTCTCAAAACGACACTACTAATAAAAATAGAAATTACTTAAATTAAGAAAATAGGAAAAGCATGACAGAGTCATTCCTTACGGGCTAGGCCAATGAGCCTTCATCAAGTCCAGGGATACAAAATTTAGATATATCTAAGGGACATACTATGACCCAAGTTGAAAGCATCAGTGTTTCATCCCCAAAGGAGTTTCACGAGGCAAAACCATCAGATGCACCAACCGACGAAATTCCTATTTTAGACCATGGAAAACACACCGTGTTCCTATCCCCCATCCAACGGCGGGATTGAATCGTCGGTCAAACAAGTTGCGCCTCCCTTCCATCGACCGGAAACCCCCCGACAAACTCAATACTTTCCACATTAAATCCAAGTCCAAGGTCAAGGGAGGCAAAGGAAAAATTAAAGATGTTTTACTGGAGGCGCTCGAGGACTTTGAAACCAGCAACAATTATCAAACCATGGAGGAGCAGCATTTCAATATGGAGGATGGCCGCATCTCTAACCTGGAGCAAGAGGAGGAAACTCCTAATGCCACCAGGTAAATCCAAGTCAAAATTTAAATGGAGAGATTTCTGTTGGTTTGTAATTGCTTGATTTGAAGTGATTATGTTGATTGGTTGTGATTGCTTGATTGGAAGCAACTGAGACGATTGGGTTGAGGTGATCTTGAAGCAATTGAGATGTTCCTAATGGCTAATCTGCTGTCTGTTATTGAATAGAAGGGGTATATAGATCTAGGCTGCTATCATGGATTATTATGATACTTGAAGAATTTAATGGCTGATGTAATAGTATTGTAATGGGTTTGAGCAAAATATCGCTTATATATTGTAATTTAGGCTGTTTAGCCTCCTCAGTATGAAAAAAGAAAATCTAAATTTTACTGCTAAATTTTAAAAATTTTAAAGTCTTGCCTCTGTAGAATTTATATATATTGTTTTTGCTCCACCTATTAGCGAGGGTCTTGGCTCCATCGCTAAGTTTGTGACTGATAATTAGGTCCAGAAAAAGTAGGTTTTTCAAATTTCAACTGTCTTCTATTATTAGTGGCATTGAGTGGAAAAACTAAAATTTTGAAATCAAAAGCTAAAGTAAGAAAATCTCATAATATATGGAACAAAATGTTGTACTACAAGTTATTCCAAGAATATGATGATATTGGCTCTACAAGAAGCAACAAATAATTTTAAAGCCATCTCTTAACCAGCATAAAATCGGAATTTTACTGGTAGAATTGGGTTGCTTGAATTTCAAAAGTCAAACCACATTCATGAAATTTTTCTTCCATGATCTTTTGAAGCTTTTCTGCCATGGAAGGAGTTAGACAATTGACCCAGTCACCAACTTCTCCTTTCCTGAAAAATGAACTATTTTTAGCAACAAACCTGATTTCAGTCTCCCCTTTCTTATTACATTCCATATTCATAAGACTCTCTAAGCTACATAACTTGCATATTTCTTCAACTAGACCAGCTTTTTCTTCCTCAGCTGAAAATGGGCACCCAAGAAACTCAGCTATGTTCCTTGTAGAACTGTTGATGTCCCTTTTAAGATCCTCAAACTTCAAGAACAATATTTTTTGAGGATTCTTTGAGCTTGCTTCCCAATACCCAATAATTTGATCCCAATATGGACCATAAAGAACTTTTCCCTCACTAAATGATTTGAGACACCTATGCATAGCCACTGGTTCTAAAAATCTGGGCACAAAACCATTTTGCTTGGCGAAATGCAACAAAGAAGTGAAGGAATCCAAAAGGTTCCTACAAAGATAGATGATGCGACAATTGGCCAAATCATCCAGTATAGAACTAGGAAGGCATTGATAAGGAACATGAGTCGCAAAGATTCGCGGGCAAGAAGCCGAGTTAAGGTAGTCATTAGGAAGTTCACCCGACTTGTACATATTAGTCTCTAAGAAAGGAATGAGTTGATGAGGGCTTGTATGGAGTAAAGGGCTTTCTTCCATCTGGTATTTACCGCGATTAACGATACTGAAAGTGAGAGCTTTCAGCCATGTTGTGCCTGATTTCGGCAAGGTGGCCAGTATGATATCTGTATCATTGGCCTGGAAATGATTCTGAAAGGTTATTGTGCCCTTAAGTAACTGTTTGTCAAACCAGAAGCCTTGGTAATTAGCTAGCAAATAACCTAGGGCCTTCTCTTTGTGAAGCTTTCGAAATAGTTCCTCAAATTCTTCATCTTTCTTGTCCATTTCCTTCTTTAAAAAAATGGATTTAGAGAAGTTTGACAAGTATTCCATTTTTTTGGGGGTGTTAGGGAGAAAGTGAGAGCAATTTCAACTGATCTATGCAATTGCCATATTATCTAGTATATTTATATATAGATATCTTTTCTTAGGTCAACTTGAAGGTAACACATAGTTTACGCATTGATTTTAATCTAATCAGAATATCATATTGCACCGGCCAAAAATTCAAACAAACAGCCATGCGGCCTCTATTCATTAATCGTTTCTCAGTTGTGTTCATTAATCGTTTCTCAGTTGCGTGGGCTCATGATTGCTTCCTTTGATATCCAACAAGGAATATATACTCACCCGATTTTAACGCGTGTATTGTTATTTTATTTCTGAAGTTTCATTCAATAATTGATTAGAAAATTTGTTAAATTATTCTTGCTGTCTACGTTAATAAATTTCACTTTATTAAAATTAATTATGTCCAAAAAAATACTCTTTATTGCAATGTAACATGAAAAGTATTGCAGTTTACACGATTTGGTTTTGGCATGTGATAAAACAACGAAGATTGAATGACTCATCGTTATTGAGTCCTACAGATTGGGCCAATCTCATAACGAAATAATAAATTCTGCAAAGATAGTTGATGGGGCAATTGGATCATTGTTTTATTGGACTTTAATCAAGTTGGTCCAAGTATCAAATAATATCCACTAAAATTTATGTGTACTCATGTGCTAAGAAATATTTTTATATTCCCTTTTGGCTCTATAAAAGGAGTACCCAAGATATTTATTTTTTATATTGTTCTCTCTCTATATAACATTTAATAGTCTTTTTTTGTCTCTCTAAAACTTCTAACTTAAGCATTAGAGTGCTAACCCTATTTTGCAGGACATTTTAGGGATTATTAACACTCACTCGTGCACTGATTCAAAGACACTCCAACAATAGTATCTGTGATTCTACATGGATGAGCAAAATGAGGTTGTAACGCTCATAGGGATATTTCTTGGTTTTTGTACGGGCGAAAAATTGACCTTTACATATTTCAACAATGCATTTTTTTTTTCACTATTTCAAAAAAAATTTTCCATCCAACACAGCCTGCACGAAAATATTATAGTTCCTCTTACGACGTGGAAAGTGCCATTTCAGACCTCAATCCTCCTGGATTTGTCAAAGCTAATGCCTTTCAGAATGAATTTTATTTACTTCCTCCCTCCCTTCGGTCTTATTTCAGTCACAAAATCAAAGATAAAATTTGGTTCATACTTTTGTAGAGGGAGCTATTGTCAACCCTCCATTGATTTGTCATAGCTTGTTATTGTCTTTAAGACTACGAATAAATTTTTATTTAGTTAAAATGGTCCTTATTGATTTGTCATAGCTTTTTATTGTCTTTCAGAAAGGTTCTTCTTTAGTAGAACAAGTATCTTTGTCTCTAAAAAATAATTCAAACTAACTTTACTCTACTTTAGTAGAGAATTATTTTTTTAGAACGAAGAAAATAGTAATAATGTAAATCTCTCTGGATAAGGAATTTGTGCATATGATCCCAGTCACATTAAAAAACGTAGACCCTATTGATGAAAAGTGACTAATTAAAACAAATTTTTTTTTGTCGACAATATCAAGTTTTTTAATCAACTAAAAAAGATGGGTGTGGAAATTATGATTATGTCCTTGTGATTTCAGAAAAAGAATTTGATTATGTTATAATAGCTGGAATGCGGCTCAAATGGAAAGGCAGAATAGGACTACGGGTTAAAATAAAAACAATGCAACCACCAGCATCATTTCCGGACCATAACCAACCATTGCCAAGGCAGCAGGTCTGCCAGTTGTGCACAAGATTCCAGCACCACACGCCCAACGATGTCATGGAGTGCAAGCAGCACATATATCTATTTTTGCAACTACGACAAGACGAATGCAAGAATTCCAATGTGTACCAATTATTCAAACTAACATATTATCATGGTGAACCCCATAAGGTACATGGTTATCCAAGATGTCAGGCAAAATATTGAAACCCTGGTACAACCTACCTGATGATCTATCTATCTTTCTGCTGAATGGGACAAGAATGATGATATTATGCACAGTTAAATAATGATTTCAACCCGAGTTGAAGCATCAAATTTTAAAAGAGTAGGAGAGATCTTGTTCAACAAATTTCTATACAGCAAACTTACCACCCTGATGTCAGATTCTCAACACAGACCAGCAGTTTATCAATTTTGATAGATAAATTACCAGGTTCAAGATGCCAATCTATGGGACTGTTCATCGGAAGCTCCAGAGAAAAAGGCATCTCAACAAAAAGGACTGTCCCTGAGTTTTCAGATTCTCTAAACTCGGCAATGCAGGTTCTCCCATAGCCGCCTGACTCATAATGACGACAGCTTACTGCGATTCCCTGACCCGGCATCTATAAATATGCTAAATAGTTCATCAGATTGGGTAATGGACCTTTTCCTTCTTTGGGTGTCTATCAAACAGACCACCTCTCCGGCCTAAATTATCAACAGATGAACCATACCACCTGAATCTGTTAATACTTCACTACCTATCATGGTACACCTGTTCTGTGGATGTTTCTACAGAAAACCACGACGAAAGGGAGGCTTTGCAGATCTTTTTTTGACAGATTCCTTGGCTTCTCCGACTGCATTCTTCGATGTAACAGTTTTTGTTTCTACAATAGAACTATCATGGTGCAATTTTTCTGTCATCCCTAAATGATTTTCCATGGCAGCTGAATTCATCTCCAGCAAGTCAGGAAGAACCGGAGGCTTTACCTTAGGTTCTTTTTCAGATTTTCTAGCTACATCCTGAAAACCATTTGAAAGTTGAACCCCGTTTGAAGAGAGTAATCTCAACGGACCGTTCCCAGTCTTATTCAAGGAATCAGGAACTTTTGTTGCTTCAAGAACTTTACTAGAGCTAGAATCCACAGAAACATCAAGGAGCATCTGTTCTTTGACTTCAATATCATCAAGGAGCATCTGTTCAATGTCATTTTTAAGGAAACCCGGTCGTAAAAATGTCTTTACTTTTTGTACAGAGCCATTCCTAGGCTTATCCAAGGAATCAGGAACTTTTGTTGCTTCAAGATCTTCACTAGAGCTAGGAGCCGCAGACGCATCGAGGAGCATTTCTTCTTTGACATCAATATCATTTTGAATGACCACTGAATCGTTTTTGAGAAAGCCTGGTCGAAAGAATGGCTTTACTTTTTGTACAGCGCCGATCCCTGGCTTATCCAAGGAATCAGGAATTTTTGTTGCTTCAAGGTCTTCACGAGTGCTAGGAGCCGCAGACACATCAAGGAGCATTTCTTCTTTGACCTCAACATCATTTTCAACGACCACTGGCACTGAGTCGTTTTTAAGGAAACCAGGTCGTAAGAATGGGGTTACTTTTTGTACAGCCTCCCCAGCATCCTCAGAACTGCTTGGATATGGAATATTGCCGGAAAATTGCATTGCTTGTGCAACAGGCTTACCACTACAACTAGCAAATTCTGTTTCTTCTCCACTTGCATTGCCAGAGCATAAAACAGTGGCAGAAACACCATGGGGCGATTCTTCTTTCAGATCACTACAATCCTGAAGAGTCCGATATCCTTTATTGAGGAAACCGGGACAAAAAGCTGACTTCGTCTTAGCAGTATGTTTTTTCCTTGCGGGTGACCCATCTTGACATAGATTTGAAGGTGGCATTCCTGAAAATGGCATTTTACTAGCAGCAGACTTCTCTCCAGGTTCAACACTTTTTGGTTCCTCAGAGCTCTTACCAGATATTGAAACAGCAGCAACATCAAGGGGCTTTCCTTCTGTTAAATCTAAATGATTTTTAGACGCCATGGAATCTTCATCTGATGAATGGGTCACAGAGAAATCTTGACGATTACTGTTAGTGCCTCCAGAATTATCCAGAACAATAGGCAAAGGAGATGATGGTATTTCGTTGTGAATATCAGCATCAGGCAAAGAGGGTAAAGTTACGGGAATCATTGTTCCAGTATCATGAGTATGCTGTCCAGAAGGACCTCTTCCTTGCATTGCAACAGAGTTTGAGACCTCAGAAAATTCAGCATCCAGGGAAACAGGACAATCTTGCTCACAATCCATAGTCTTAATGTCCTTATTGGCATGTTCAATATTGCTTGTGGAAGATAAATCTACTTCAGAGCTTCCGACCTTAGCCAGCGAACTGCTTTCAGATGCATCTTTGACAGAATCAACAAGGGTATCAGCTGGCTCCCCAGATGCATCTTGGTCCGTGGAAGGAAGCTCAATTTCCTTCTTCACTTCCACGTGCTCTTGATCCTCTTTCCTTGGAGTTTCAGCAGGATATAAAGATGATCGTCGAGCAGAAATCCTGCGAATATAAAATTAAATAACTTAATAATTCACACAGCAGACAGACTGCAAAACTTTTATTGCAAAATCTGAAAGCGGACATTACAACAATATAGAACAATCAACCACTACATATAACCTACTTACTTATCCAAGGGTTTATCCCACGACCTATCCAGTAATATCAACGAGGCATCGTTATAATAATTCCAAGCTTTACCCCATTCCTTTCCTTTTCCTTGTTGAGTGATTATTTGATAATGGCGTTTTTATAGGTTTACATTATAACTTCTCACAGTCTCAGTTAAGGATTTTAAACCATACAAGCACTTTACAGACAACAGACAAAGTCTTGTGGAAACCCCTCGGTACAGGATTTAATAACATTGAAGCCTAAAACTTATACATTATCAATAATGGTAAGGTACAAACTAAGTGAATCTTATCACATTCAAGCAGCACAATGAAAAAAATACCTGCTATACAGAAGCATATAAGCTCCTTGCGAAAGCACTTCATCCAGATCAACGCCCATAACCTGATCAAGAAAAGCGGGATATCTGATTATGTTTTCATATAAGGACATCAGAATATCAGACTACTAGTTAATAAGTCATTTTACAAAGAAACATTTTACCAAGACAAGGAATTAGACACAAATTTTATAGGTTGTAACTTCAACCACACGATAGATAATCCTATAAACAAAAACAACTCAATGCACTTGTATATATATAGTACAGGGTCACAGGTTTGAGAACAACGAGATAAATATGAATGACATTCCAATCAGGAACTAGTATAAATTTTGCGGTGTGTACTTGAAAGGAGGCATAAGTAAATAGAGAGGGGCATAGATTCATACCTTACAGTCATCAACTCTGTACCATTTTCCACGGAAATCCTTGACATAGCATATGTAATGACCAAAAAAAGAGGCATTCAACATGTCCACGTGGACAATTACGGCGTAAAGTTTGTAAATGTTGTCATCTTCTGCTGTCTCACTCATGTAAGGACTAAGATCCAAGATTTCAGGAAAAGTCACCCTCTTGTTCAGTTTTCCAAACCTTCCACTCTGCAAAGAACAGTAAAATTAATCCTAATTTCGAAAAATAAAGAAATTAATGGTAATAATCCTCAATGAGGTTTGGACCCATGACCTTGCGGCAATAACAGTCCATCCTTACCCCCTCACTCAACCCTCCCACCCAAATTTTCGTCAACAAAAAAACTTGAAAAGTAGAAAGCATTCTAAAAATGACTAGCACACAGCATTACATGTGAACAGCATGTTGAAATTTCTTTCTTCTTTAGAGAAAAGTAAACATTAAAGAACATTTCTTTAAGGCTATTCCATTTTCCCCCTGAAGACATTTGGCTCATCTAAGAGCTAGTTCTAAACTATAGTAACTAAGCAGGAACCAAGTAAGTTGGTCTTTGCAACATGCCAAACGCAGATTTCCAGAAGGTATGAAGGTTATGTTTATTATTTGAAAAACATAATGACAACAGCGTAAGGAATATCTACTATCTGAGTACTATCTGAGAACATAATGACATCAGCATTTCAGAACATGACACCAGCACAGTATATCTACTATTTGAGAACATGAAGGCACCAACATGATAATTTGATACTGGTTGATTTTCGAAAATTTAAAAGAAAAACAAAAACAAAAAAATTAATTGCTTGAAAATAGAGAAAGTCTTAAAGCACACCTGAAATCTTTTTAAGGCCACTGTAAGTATGTTTGGTGCCTGCCGAACAGTAAGGCGCTTCCATGCCAGGACATAGTCATTACATCTGTATTCACAAAATACTTCAGCAAATTAAGAACATAAAATCACAAAATAAAAATATGAAACTCAAAATAAAAAATACCTTGGGTTTTAAATATATCATAACATTTCTACATCATCTAAATTTGAACAACAATACCTCTCTTCCATTTCTCACTCCAACTTTCCCTCTTGCTCTTTCTTCAGTCCGAACCCACCCCCACCCCACCAACAAAAAAAATAAAAATAAAATAGTAACAGCCAAGGAACATTTTGCAGAAGTCAAGATTGCAGCAAGAAAAGTAAAAAGTCATCATTTACATCAACATGAAGAGTTACTGCAGTGGAACTACCCCAACCCGCATAGCCAGGCAGTGAATAAGAAATACATGCACCGGACTTTAAAACATTCCAGGACAGTAGAGCTAAAGTTTTGTAGATCTAATCTTCTAAATGACTGAGAGGCAACTGGAAGTTAGAGGCAACCAAAATAAAGCGGCCCTTGATGCTAACCAAAATTGCTATTTTTAATTAATCAGAATCTCAGCAGGATGAAAGAGGGCACAGTTTTTTTATAACAAACCATTTACTTAAATTCGTCTTGTGGACTATAAAGAAAACATGAACATGAAACATCTACCAGACAACACATACCCATCACATTTATACATGTTATCTCCATGGAGCCATTCTTTCGCTGTGAACTGGTCCAAGCAATCTTCAAGAGATGTAGCATCCCCTTGAATCTCAACAGTTAAATCCATCATATTCTCATACTGATTTGAAACATTGTTGCATTTTGTACAGATAACCTACCAAACAAACACCACCAGTCAAAATGACATCACAATCCGAAAAGAGAAATAAAAAGAGAAAAACCATGTGGTGAATAAAGAACTAGAGAGGGGGAGATATTAGAGGTAATTACCACCCGATTGCTCCAAACAGGCAAATCGAGAAGAATCATCTCGTACAGAAAATTAAAATATTATCCAAATATTGCCTTTTTAAAGAATCTATAGATCATGTAATTATGAATTTATTATTATTCTAAGACCATGCCTTATTGGACCATTCAGTCATCGAGCATTGAAGCATCAATTTGAATAAGAACAAGGCTCATGATAACAATTAATAAGAAATTACCTGGGACTGGAGGTGACCACCAAAAATATGTTGGATGAGGGTAGTCTCTTGAGCGGATGGATGGACAACTTTTTCGCCACCAAATTCATCAAGACACACTGACTGCATAGTGTCAATGGCAAACCTGCGTTATATTAAAACTTCAGCAAACACAAAAGAAGAAGCAAACCTCTTCAAGAATAACGAAGATATGGTACAACAGAACATCTACCTCATAAATTCATGAGCATCCTCTTGTCTTCCATACCCAAGATTACCACCAATATTGGGTAATCGAGAAAGAATGTTAAGTGGTGAAAAGGGAAGTAAACTTAGATTAGCTCTTTCAACATGATTTTGGAATTCACACAAGAAACACCAATCATTTCTTCTGCCTGCGGAACAAGGATGGATTGTGAGTATAAATTATTCAGGCTTTTAACAAAAATCGGCGGACACACACTAATGTTATCATGCATTACATTCTCTCTTGTGGCCTCTTTCCAACAGAAAAGCAATCAGTGGCTTGGTGTATGCAAGGCATTGTAGAACAGCATTAGCAAAACAGCTGCAATAGAACAAGAAAAAGATGAACATCATGGTTGTATGAGTAGTTGAAGAGCAATGCGCTTCACCTATAGCATACAGTGATTTTGAAATAATACCTATTTCCGCAATTCAAAAGCCCACAGGGAGGAAATCCTGGCTTATCCCAGTTGAACAATTGCACAAAATCCTCATAAGGGAAAAGAATCTGTGGACATGACTCTAACGTTATTCACAGCAGAAAACAGAAAACTAGCATCACAAGATATGCAGAAAAGAGATTTACTTTATTTATTGAGCCAGTTGGAAGTTTTGATGAACCAGTAGAATTATCTCTTCTTGTTCTCACTCCGGCTTTACCAAGTTTTTTAAAATCCTTACATTCCTTCTTGTGCTCAGATCTCCAATGAGAACTTTGGCAAGCTTGAGAACTAGAAGTTATTGTGAAAGGAGCTATGGTGAGCGGTTAAACATGAAAAACAGGGGGGAAAAAGAAAAATCAAACAACATGTATAACATATAGAAAAGAAAAAGGAAAAAGAGACGACTTTGCAGAACAAAAAACAGCTGTATCAAAGCAAAAGATCCAGACAGGTACATTTGATACATACAGAAGTAACCAACCAAACAACACGAAAACATATTGAAATGACACAAGAGATGCAAAAATAAACATAAATGGCAGCAGACTTTACGATTGTATCCACATTGTATCCCTTTCTAATTTACATCATGCAATCAGTACACATGTTGACACAGATGCTTACCAGCAACACAGATACAAAGGAAATAATGACACAACATATGTTAAAGTCACATTAAATCAATATCTCAAGCGCCCCAGTGTTGAAAAATAGTAGGTGAAGGAAAGGCCAATCAAATCTTATCCTAATACCACAAAACACATATTTCTAGGTTATAATTCAACTGAAATATGAATTTACAATCTAAAAGTGGAATAACGCACTAATACAAACTCTCTTAGATCTTCCACTAAAGCACAAAAAAGGCATACTGAAAATGTAGCCAAGATATACTTCTCCCAATTCTCTCTAAGAGATCAATTTAGCATACTTCTCCAGTAACAATGATCAGCATTGCCTGTCTCCTCTAAAAACAATGATTACATACTAACATTCAAAACCTTTTTCTACCAACCTCACTTAATAAATCAAAGTTAAGACTTACATTGCACAAGCAACGGACACATACTTGCTAGAATGCAGGTAACTTTCTCAAATAACATGGAGCAAAATCATATCTAAGCGCAATGATACAAAAGCAAAAAGCATCATATAAGCCTATTTGAATAAGCAACGACTAATAAATTTGGACAACAGTGTAGTTGGCTAGAAGGAAAAAAATTCCCTGCAGATTCAACTAATGAGATAATGACACGACCTGTGCCTTATAGCTTCTTGCATAAGATAAGCTTATCTAATAGAAGTATATGTGCATAACCAACTACACTGCAGCTGGGTCATAAGATAAGGTCAAAGAGAAACAACTCTTTGGAGAGACAACCATTTTCTTCTGCATAGCTCCCCAAAAGAGGCAAAAAATATGAATTTCAGTTTCAGCTCATTACCCATATAAGTATTCAATAGTGTCTTGAGTTAAAAGCTTAAAGTGAAACAAAAAAGGAAAACCAAATCAAATTTCACTCAAAAGTAGATAACAAAAGAAATCCACAATGCCCACATTTCAATCAAGGAAATTAAATACTCTCGATGCCCCAAAAAAGGAGCCCAGGTTTAAAACTGTACAACCTATACTGAATTTCAAAGTACAACATAAAAAGTAAGTGTAGCCCAACTTTTCTTATTTGTAAATCATATATCATGCTAGGGGAAAAATTGAAACTAGAATCTTCTCTTCAGAAGAAAAAGTCTAGAAACAGGACTCTGTTGAAATCAAGGAACTATTACATATGACCTTCTACACTATACACATGGAGCCAGTACAATACTCCAAAGACCTTCTACAGTTTAACTCCAATGATTCTCACTCTTATGGTAGTTGATAACAAGTACATTGGAAAAACAATGCAGCTAAATCCTTGGAAATTCATAAAACCTTACATTCTCTTGAAAATAACTACACAATTAATTTCGGAGAGATAATCAACTTAAAGCTGCAGATGGCAGAACCTCAGCACCACAAGTGGTAATCATACACCAGTCAAGCAAAATAAACTACTCATGAGTTTAATGGTCTCAGCTTTCTCAGATTTTCGAATTCTCTCCAATATTCACAGGCAGGACTAACAATTATTAACCTATAGTAAGCACAAGGGTCATCCCACATAATCATAACCCTTGGCTGGTTCAATATTGAGCCATTTGTCAGCTATTATATTTTTCTGTGGCACCAACTTTAAATTTTAAAAAATACAACATCCCCAGTACATTCCCAACTTGGTTGGTGTCTGGGGGTTCAAGATGTACGCAGTCTTACCCCTGTATTTCAATACAGAGAGGCTGTTTAAGTAGTACGGCCCAAGATGCATTGGTGCATAGATGTATTGATTTCCAGCAATGTCACCAAAATTAAGAAGCGTCGGAATTTAAATGAACCATTTTGATCTAATCCATTATTTTTTAATTTTTAAAAAAATAAAAGACAAAAAAGACTAGCCATTTTGCTTGCTTTAGATGTCTATAAGTAAAAAATAAAATAAAAACAAAACGTAGTATGAGAAACCAAAGTAGCAATCTTGGGCTACTGTGCATCTAAAAAAAAAAAGTAGGACCACAATAAAACAGCATAAGAAACTTGAAATACAGCAGAGTATGAAATATTTTGTGAGTTCTTCTATTTTTTCATTGAGCTTTTGTTAATCCATAGTATCTCTTCTATAAAACCACTGTTTCTGCATATAGACAAATATTTGTAACAAATCTTCAAAGAAACCTAAAAGATACATTCATACCAAAACCAAAGATCCAGGTCTGAGCTTTGCTCATCACTTCAAGGCAACATAGTTGGATTTTCTAATACCTAGATTTACGACTGATCCTAGCAGCATTTAAATAATCTCAACAAATAACAGAAGCAAAGAAACATAACATAATAGCCCGGATGTAATTAGAACACACTTCTGCAGGGAATAACAAGAAACAGATATTTGCACTTGAAGAACCATTTGCATACCCATAATGATCTTTGTTGGTGATTAATTTCAAGGAAACCTATTTTCAGCCTTAAACTAGAAGCCACAAAAACCACATTATCATTTCCCAACCACTGTTGAACGACGTATTACCAAGATCAAAGATCGGTTAAACAAAGGCTGGGTTTGTGCTGGTTTTCTTCGACAAGATCAAGGCTACACGGCTTCTGTATAAAAAATTCAAGTAAAGACTACTCCTTTTGCTGATCTCTACTATGCTGATCTCTACTATAATTTTATTAGGCTGCAGCTGCCGAAGATAGAATAAAACCTTGACATGAAGGCTACTATTTGGTAAGGTACTTTTGGAAGAGTTTTTCTACTTCCTTGTCCCTAAATTCTGATATGGATATCATCCATGGTGAAGTCGGTTGAATCCTAATTTTCATTTTCGTTCAGTAATCAACACTCGGGTTCTTGCCTTACATGATCAGGGCTCTGTTAGTCTATTTGTAAGTTTCTCCTAATGGAACAATTACTTGTCAACCCTCCAAGAATAACATGCAAGACAACAAGAATACGGCAAAAGGAAAAAATCAATTGGAGAACACTAAAAACGTATGTACGCTTCAGTGTTGGTTTTGAACTTTTCCTATCACAAAAACACGGAGCAAGAAAAAGAAAAGACGGCTAGAGCAAAAAGCAAGAGTCAAACGGGGGTGCGAAGAAATTCAGAATGCTTACCAGTACATCACTATCTTACAACCGGAACACTTCTTCTTCGTTCGAGAACCGCAAACTGCACATAATTCCTCCTCCACTTCCATCGCCGTTGACGCCATGTCAGTATTTTTATTATTACTCGTGGAAGTTGTCGGAGAAGAAGGAGCGGTCGCCGTAGACCAATCAGAAACGTTACCGCCGCCGTAGTGGTCGTCCTCGGCGAAGAAGTAATTGGAGGCGGTAGCCTTGAGAAGGTAGAGCAAACCGGCGGCAAAAAGTATCCCGGAGAAGATGAATTGAGCAAAGGAACTCAGATCCACCGCCAGAAGGAGCGACGACATTCAAAATCATGGATCTTTCTCTTCTTCTTTACATATATATTTGCTTAAATAAATAATCTTTTCCAGAATATTTCACAAAAGGGAAGAACCCTAGGGTTCCGTTATTTGTTATTGATTACAACAAGTACACTGCCAAAAGTTTTGGAATTTTGAATTCAGGGCATTTAATTTAATTTAATTTAATTTTTTTTTTTTGGTTTGAACTTTGAATTTTACAACGAAGATTTCGGAATTAAGTTCCAGTTTTTTTTTTTTTTTAAGAAAATTAAGTTCCAGTTATTAGTAAAAAAGAATATGATTTGGAGTAGTAAGTAATAAATATGAACGAAGGAACGGTCGAATTAAAGTGTCCAACTGCAACTGTAATTTCGAATCAAATCAGAGGTCAAAAAGTTGTTAGAAGTTGGACTTGAGGCACAAAGTTCAAATTTACTTATTTTTATCTATAATCTATAATAAGCTAATATAAATTGGGAGGCTACAAAATGCTTTAAAAATTTCCCTTGAGCGCCCTAATTTAATACTAAAAGACCATTTTGCCCCTACACGATTTTATAAATTAAGAGTTTCAATTTCATTCTTTCAATTTCTAAATCAATCTTTCATTTCAAATTCTCTCCATCCAAACTCCCAAAAACTTAGATTCAATGGTTGAACGAATGAAACGGCTACGTAAAGAGCTACGGAAACTGAAGGTATGTAAATTTGGATTGGTTTTTTGAATTAGAATTATGTAAGAGTATTTTTAAAAAAAAAAAGCCCCCGCCGGCAAGAGAGATCCGCGTCGGGGCGTGCAGAGCTGGCGTGCAGATTCACGCCAGCTCTGTAAGGAGTGGCGCAGATTTAGCTGGCGCGGATCTGCGCATCAGCTCTGCACGCCCCGGTGCGGATCTCCCTCGCCGGCAGGGGCTGTGGTGGCGCCCGTTTCTTCGCCGCTGAAAGGTGGGGTGGCAAGAAAAGTCTCGCCTGGGGACTAGCGCCTGGCGAGATTTACCGGTGCCACAATGGCACCGGTTTTTTTTTTTTATTGTGTTAATTTGTTATATTATTTATTTAAATTTAATTGTTATTTATGAATTGTAATTTAATCTATACTAGATGTTTGGCCCAGGCAGATGTCCGGGCGTCCCTTCTAAATTACTATTTTATTAAAATCTAATTGAATTACTATTTTTTGATGAATTAATTTGGCGTATATATCATTTATGCTATGATTTGGGGCTTAAAAAAATATACCTATAAATCTGAGGTTATAAGGGAATAATAAATAATTAGTTTATAAGGCATTATTCTTAATTGCTGGATTTAAGTATTTTTATTTTTTGTTTATATTAAGCTTGCAAATCTATACGATTGGACATTTGAATTTGAATTAATATATCCATTCGTTTGAAATGTAACTGATCCTTATTTGTAGTAAAACATGTGTTTTTTTAAAAAAAAAAAAATTATATAACTTCTAATTAAAAGAGACTTACACGTGGCAAAAAGACTCCTGAAATCTGAAATATGGTGCATTGGAGCCAAAACAGATGCATACTTAGTTGCCACATAAGCTTCATGTCTTCTGCTTTAATAAGGTAAAAGGGATATACTATACTAAGGCAAAAACCAGAGAGAGAAATCTAAAGTTAAGGAGCACATGCCACATAGAATTTTATCATATGTGGCATTTTCTTAATTTTTTAGATATAAAAATGCACAAAACAAAACAATAAAAACTAAAAAAAAAAAAAACGCAACTGAAAAAGTTCAAACCCTATATTGATTCGACTAAATCCCTGCAAATCCGATGGACGGATCTCTTCCTCCTAAAAAAAAAACGCAACTGAAAAAGAATTTTATATTAATAATTTATTAAAATAATTAAAGAAGTTAGGCCAACCTAAAACTTCTATAATTTAGCTTCAAATATGGAATTGAGTTAAAATACTATGGTGATGGGTTGATGTAGCAAGGCTAAGAAATCAAAAGTCAGTCCGAAATAAGGAATAAAGATCCCGATATCTAATTTTTTTTATTTTTTTTCTTTTTCTTATTAAAAAAATTGGATGGCCTCCACAACAAGTTAGGGTTATGATAAACCTTTTCAAAAAATAAATAAATAAATAAAATTCCTTATCATAATTTCTTAGCCACCCTAGCCGACCTTTCCACTCAGACTGTCAATGTAGTCTACCAAGAAATACTGCAAGATATATAATTATTTAATTCAAAGTTCATTTTTTAAAAATTTCTTAACAATCTTTTTTGCGTTAAATAAATTACCACTGTATTTGTTTGGTAAAGTGTTGTCAATGTTTGTGTTTTATATTTTTTAATAAATTCATTATATATTTTATAAAAATACAAAAATCAATACAAATATTAACATTTTTTTATTTGTTTGTATAGTAATGTTTATGTACATGTGCTCCCTGTCCATCGGACTGGTCTAACACCTAATTGTTACTGTTAGTAATTGTAGATCTTATGAAATTTATTTTAATTATTTATTATTAGTTAAATTTATAATTTTATAGTTTACTGGTAGGAATTTATTTTTATTAGTTTAATTTATTTAGGAAACATTATTATTAAAAGTATATGTTTAATCTTCAGTAAATAAATTAGTTATAATACTTTTGTAGTTTTAGGAATTCAATTGTAGTTTTAGGGAGCTTAACGGTTTTTAAATTAATTTGGATTATTATGAAAGTTATTATAATTAATTTAATTATAGAAAATATATTTATTGGATTAGTCGGTTTAATTGTAATTACCCTCAAAAAAAATTAAACGTAAAAATTAAATATTTAGTATAGGAAAATTAAATAAATAAGTTTAAATTAAAAAAATACAAAAGGTTAGTAGATAATTAGAGTTAATAAAAAATATTTATTTAATCGTGGTTAAAATTAAATAATAAAAAATATATTTATTTAATTTTGGTTAAAAATAAAAAATAAAATATGTAGATATTATTAATTGTACTTAGTAGATTTAATAAATTGTACACTTAAGATGTATAGTAGATAATTTTATAATTAGGTATTTAAATAATATAAAACTGTGTTAAACTAATTAATCTAAGTTACGTGTAAAATTTAAAACTTTTGTAGGATGGGATATCGCCTCTTGAGGGATCTGGACATCGGCATGCAGTTACGCGCAATCTGTATGCCGAACATCGAGCAGAAAAAGAAAAAAAAGTTAAAGAAAGTGAAAAATGTACATCCTACGTTTGGCCCACGTGGTGAGTGAGCCAACGTAGACGATGATGATGATTTTGAGGGAGAGGAATCAGCAGAGGATAGTTTTGAGAGTTGGGGGGACGATGTGGATGAGGAGGATGACACATCCGAGTATTCCTCGCCTGAGAGGAGGGATATACATATTGGAGATAACTCAGTACTGAACCCCATTGGTCGTACTGATGATCAGACTCCAGTTCACCCTACCCGAGGGAGGGGGAGGGGGGGAAGACCCTTGTTGGATTATCGGCCCTGAATTCAACTTACACTCCTGGTGGTTCCAGTGTTCGTGTCAACCCACAGAGTACTCTTTTTAGAGGTTCCAGTACTACTCTTCATCATGCAGGCCCGCAGAGTACTGTTTTTAGAGGTCCCCCTCTGACTAGTCAGCCTCGTTCCCGTTTTGGTGGCGCATCCATTGGTGCCTCTATCCGTCCTGAGGCAGCTGCATCGTCATCAGGTACGTATTTGTAACAATTTCAGCATTCATTACTGCTTGGTCAATTTCTTAATTGCATTCGGTTAAGTATTTATACACTATTCTTTATTCGGGTTTCAGGTACTAGCAGACGGTCTAAGGTTTCTACCGAAGAAACTGATGATTGGGTTGTGACGGACGACGTACCTGGCGGACCATGTGATGGGTCGGTGATTCTTAGTTTTCTTGGCCACACTGCTTATCAGTTGTGAAATGGAGAACCAAGAGATTACCTGATGATGAAGCCAGCGAAGAAGAGTTTGTCTAGATTGCATGGATGGTATGCGAGGTTGCCGGAGAACGCACAGTTGCAGATTCAGAATACCGATTTGTATCATGTGATTGATACCATGTATGATGAAATTGACCTTGCGCTTATTTCTGCACTCATAGAGAGGTGGCAGCCCGACACAAACTCTTTCCACTTGTCGTTTGGGGAGATGACCATTATGATGCATGATGTGGCACACATTTTGGCGATTTCCACTTGATGGTTACTTGTTGACCCAACCTACGGAAGCTGAATTTTTGAAGATGCAGGTCGCGGGATTGCTTGGGATGCCGGTGGCTGAGTTAAAGCGTGCATGGAGCTACGGAGGTGTGAGCGACATATTGATTGAGGAGTGTTGTCGCAGGGTTCTCCCCGCTGTTCAGGTGCAAGCTTGGGTGTGGATCTTGTTAGCCTCGACACTCTTCCTTGACAGGAGTGGGGGCAGGATCAGTGCTTCGCTTATGAATGAGTTGCACGGAGGTATCGACAATATTGCAGAGTACTCCTGGGGATTCGGTACACTAGCATTCCTCTACCGTCAGCTTGGGATTGCTAGTCGAGCAGGGTGTACCATGATGGCTGGTTGTATGACCCTTCTCCAGGAATAGATATATGAGTATTTTCCATGTTTCCAGCCCTCCAAGAAGCGGGGACGTCGAGGTGTTGATGGTTGGCCCAGAGCCCGAGACTGGACACCAGTTAGCTATAAGGGCCCGAAGCCTATTCATAGTTGTCTCCAGCAGATTCGTGCGCAGCTCGATGCGATGACTGAACAAGAGGTAGTCTTTATATTTTATTTCTGTGTATTGCGTAAGGGGTATTTTATTGTATACACTATAATAAATGTTGGCAACATTCGCAAATCGAATAGGAGCCATTTGGTCGCGAACAGGCTGCAGCATATCCGAGGACCATCTTCAGTGGGTGGATTATGTACCACGACTTCCAGGAGCCATACATGCCAGAGAGAGTGCTACGCCAACTCGGTTACGTGCAGTACATACCTCGTGCGCCGCTC